ATCCTCTTGCTTCAGCCTCCTGAGTGGAAGACCCTGTTGAAGGCCCAAACTCAGGTCCCCTTGTGCCTGTACTTTACCAACTAAGCCATATATATCCTCAACCTCTCACTGGATTTTTTATTTTTATATACATTTTATTTCTTTTGTGTGGGTGGGGCCTGCATGCCGCAGCACAAGTGTGAAGGTCAGAGGACAGGGAGCAGTAGCTGGTTCTCTCTCTCTCTCTTTTTAACCACGCGGGTCCCAAGAACCAGACTCGGGTACCAGGTACCTGCTACTCCATCTAGCTGGCCCCTCCATAGAGGATTCTGTTGCTGCAGGGAGTTTTTCTCACTATGTAGCTGTAAAGACTGTTGGTGGCTCTCGGGAGGCAGAGGCAGGCGGATCTTCTGTGAGTTTGAGACCAGCCTGGTCTACAAGAGCTAGTGCCAGGACAGACTCCAAAGCCACAGAGAAACCCTGTCTCGAAAAACCAAAAAAAAAAAAAAAAGACTGTTGGTGGCTGTCAAACTCTTGGTCGACTATATCTGGAATTAACTAAAACCCAAAAATGGAGGGGCACATCTATGAGGGCTTTTTGCTTATTTGGACATGGGAAGGTCTACTTCTTCTTCTTTTTTTAAAAAAAAAGATTTATTTATTAGGGGCTGGAGAGATGGCTCAGAGGTTAAGAGCACTGACTACCCTTCCGAAGGTCCTGAGTTCAATTCCCAGCAACCACATGGTGGCTCACAGCCATCTGTAATGGGGTCTGGTGCCCTCTTCTGGCCTGCAGGCATACATGGGGGCTGAACACTGTGTACATGATAAATAAATAAATCTTTAGGAAAAAAAGATTTATTTATTAATTATGTATACGGCATTCTGCTTGCATGTGTCCCTGCAGGCCAGAAGAGGGCACCAGATCTTATTACAGATGGTTGGGAGCCACCATGTAGTTGCTGGGAATTGAACTCAGAAGCTCTGGAAGAACAGCCAGTGCTCTTACCTTTGAGCCATCTTTCCAGCCCCGAGAAGGTCTACTTCTAATCCAGATCTTTGAGGTAGAAAAACACAACTTTAGCCGGGTGGTGGTGGTGCACACCTTTAATTCCAGCACTCAGGAGGAAGAGGCAGGTGGATCTCGGTGAGTTCGAGTTTAGCCTGGTCTACAAGAGCTAGTTCCAGGACTGGCTCCAAAGCAACACAGAAGAAACCCTATCTCAAAAAAACAAAAACAAAAACAAAAAAACCAACTTCAATTCAGATCTTTTCAGGTGGGAAGAGCCACCTTCTGCTGGCAGTCTATATAAAGAAATGGAAGGAAGCTTTTACTCTTTGGCAGCTTGCTGTCAACCTTGCTAGCAAATCCATTCTTTCACTGGCACTAGAGCCTACGATGTCAGGACTCCAGCATATAGTGTGATCAACTGAGACATCCAGCCTCATGGACTGAGCAACTGCCGGATTCTCGGGCTTCCCTTCATAGACAGCCATTGTTGGATTAGCTGGACCCACAGCCTGTAAGTCATTCTCATAGATCCCCTTTCTATATAGAAAGACATTCATTCTATAAGTTCTGTTCATCTAGAGAACCCTGATACGGTAGCCTTGGCTAGTTTAGAACTCACTATGTAGACCAGGTTGGACTTGAACTTGTAAGAAACCAGTCTGCCTCTGTCTCCTGAGTACTGGGATTAAAGATGCAAGATATATATATCCCATCCAGCCTTACAGGATCAAAAACATTTTAGAGTGTGTGTGTGTGTGTGTGTGTGTGTGTGTGTGTGTGTGTGTGTGTCTGTGTCTGTGTCTGTGTAAGATAGAAGAGGGCACTGGATCCTGGAGCTGGAGATACAGGTGGTCATGAGCTTCCAGACATGGGTACTGGGATCCAAACTTGGGTCTTCTGAAAGAGTAGGGAGCGCTCTTAACTGCTGAACCATTTCTCTGCCCCTAGGATTTTTTTTTTTAATTCTAAAAAGTCCATTTCAAACAAGTGGTGCCACCCTTGCCTTTCACAAGACATGCGTCCCTAGAGAAGGGAGACACTGTTAGCCAGTAAGGCCCTACTTCCAAATGTCATCACCTGGGGGCTAGGATTTCTACCTGGAACTGCGGGGAGAGGACATTCAGACCACAGTGCTGTGCCAATCAGCACCTTAAGAGAGAACTGGGGAGAGCCCAAGTTCAGAGCTAGGTTAGAGGAAGGGCTCCCAAGAAGGAACAGCCTGCACGAAGGCCCTGAGGCAGGAACAAGTTTGGCGTGTGAAACCTGAGCTGAGCAGAAGGCTGGAAGTTGAGTGGGTGCAGCCATGTCATTATGGGTCCTCCTGTGTCCTTGGCATTGAGCATGGATTTCATATCAAGTAAGACAGCCTCTTCTGTCGCTCGGTGTACAGGTTCCAGGGTAGGGAGATCAAAGGACATGATGCTTCTTTTTGCCCATTGTCTGTTCTTCTGTTCTGTTCCTACACTGGACCTGTCTTATGTAAGAACTCAGGAAAGACATTTCCAAACAAAACATGTCACGGTGGGCAGTGACAGTTCCTTCCCCACACTGCCTCTCTGCTACTGTGTGCCCTTCGGCTGGAATCCTCAGAGCTAAACAGACCCCACTCCCTCTGGAGCAGAGTGTGAAGAAGTAGATACCCTCCCTGCTGTCATTTTATCCTGGTAAAATGCAAGAAAACAATAAAACAATACAGCCCCAAGATGTGGGCACCCTGGTGCTCTTTCTGGTCTCTTCCCAGATAACTACCAAGGTCAAGTATTTGGACCCATCTTGTCTTCTGACAAGATCACCAAAGGCCTGTGCAAAGGGCTCTCAGCAAGATTGCTGTCTCAATCAGTTCTCTCCCCATCAGTGCCTGCCCCTCAAGGTGCAGACCAGTGGGCCTTGAGGACACACTCGGCCCCCCAGGACAGATCCTCACCTATCTAGGGCAGCATGAAACCTCAGCTTAGCCTTCCATTCCCTCACACATTTTGTCCCCAAACCTAATAGTTCCAGATATAATACCAGCCCCCCCCCCAACTGGCCTACCCATGCTCTGCCTACAAGGAGGTACCTAGAGGACAGCACACAGAGTCCCACTGGATTCCTACAGGGGCTGTCCCTGGGCTCTCCCTCCAATGGTTCTGAAGCTCAGCTATGGAGTACCTGATGTGTACCAGACTTCTGGGTCCTTCCCCAGCACTCCCAGAGGGTCAGAGCGCCACACTACCAAGGCCAGGAATGACATCCATAAAGACAGGCTCTCCCGAGTTCCTACCTGTTCTCTGGCTTTTTGATGCATGTTCTCTTATAAACAGAACAACAGCAGTAGAGAAATTAGGCTCAGCAAGTTGCACACCTGCCTGTCAAGCATGTGTGAGGCCCTGAGTTTCACCTCCAGAGAAAGAAAAAGAAACAAGATGTCATATTGCACACCGGTAGCCTGGGTGCTCAGGAGGCTGGGGCAGGAAGGGGGCAAGTTCTAGACCAACCTGGGCTACATAGCAAGATCCCGTCTCAAAAAGAAAAAAAGCCACAAGCAGGATGGGCTCTTCTTGTCTTGTTGGTTGCCCTCTAATCTCCTAGAACCCAAAGTCAGAGGTGAAGGTATAGACGTATGAGCTTTTCCGCCTGGGCCCCCAAGGCATTCTTGGGACTATGTCCCTGTATGAGGACTGTTGGGTTTAACAGCATGGGCTTCAGGAGGGGCCCTATATTCACCCCAGTTCCAGTGTGGACTTTCTTCTCCCTTTCACTGCCTGTCTCCCAAAGGCACCCAGATGGCTCAGAGGCTGTGGAAATCAAACCCAGACCTCCAGACCCCTAAGTTCAGGGCCCAGTAGCCACCACAAGCACTGGACTAGGAGTCAGCAGGCCTGGACTTGGATGTCGGCTTCAGGAAGGGTCCATTCAAGGATAAACACCACCCCCCAAGGTTCCTGCTCCAGGCTTCACTGGAACTTTTTAAGACCTGCACTCCATTGGACCTGCCACCCATCAACTCCTGCCCAGTCCCCAGAGGGTATAGGTAAGAGCAGTGTGCTGGTGACCACAGGAGGCAGTTACAGGGCTCTCGGCTCAGGAGAGTCACGACTAACAGAGGCCCTGGGAGTTGTAATTGTGTCCATCACTGGGACCTGCTTCAAGACTCCTTGCTGTTGTAAATATTAGGGGCAGCTACACGTAGGGTTCTTACCCTACCTTACCCTTAGTGCTCTCCAAGCCAGCGGCACCTGCGCGCTCCTTGCTCTTCAGCAAGCTCACCCAGTCCCAAGGCCCAGCGCTGCATGGGGTTTGCCCCCATCTAGTCTGCTGCCGGCTCCCAGCCTTGTCCGGCAGCATCCCTCGCTCCACAACCTTCAGTGGCTCCCAGGAACACCTCAGGGCTTGGTGGCACCCTTCCATCCTTGGGTCCCTTGTGTTTGAAAAGTTCATCTGGGCGTCATCCAAATCCAAGTCTCTGGCCCTGCCGGGGCGTGCTCGGAACTCCAGACTCTCAGCTCGTCCGCTTAAGGAGACCCGGGGGTCTTGGAGGCCTCTCCAGGTGGGGAGCCATTCTCGAACTTTCACAACTAGCGGCGTCCAATCCCGCAGGCCTTAGAGAGTCAAGACGTTCCACGCGTGCTCGCTACAGTGTCCCCATGACATTGGCAAGGACGAAGAGGTTGAGCAGCTGAGTCGCATCCAAACACCGTGAGGGGCCCCAGGGCCGAAGCAAGGCGAGTGCCGCTCCTCGCAGAGTGCAGTTGGAAGGTTACCTGCTCCAGGGCGCTGTGTACCCACTGCACTGCCCCTGCCCCGGACCGCGCGGGCGGGCCCGAGAAGCACAGTCTTTGTCTGCTGTGCCCCATGATGCCCCCGCCCACTGTGTCCGAGGCCACACCCTCCAGGAGCTCCCAACCAATAAAATTTGGCGGTGACACCCAGAGCACGGGGTGTTGTCCGCGCCTGGTGTACCCATTGGTTGCGTACTGCAACGGGGGCTGCGGCCGGCAGGGCGGGGCGCACGGCGAGAGGTGACACCCCGCGTGCTGGACGCAGGGGGAGAGCTTTCCTAAGAGTCATCACCCAGCCGCCACCCGGACCAGGCTTGCTGGACAGTCGGAGCCCCGACGGCCCGGGGGCCATAAGAGTAGTAGGACTCAGGCGGCTCGCGGGGCCGGGCCATGGCACTCGACTTCCTGGCTGGATGCGCTGGAGGTAAGGAGACTCCAGGCATGCCAGGCTTCGCAGCCCGCCTGGTGCGCGAGGACAGGTGTCTTCTCGGCTCTCAGTGTGGTTTGCACTGGGTGCTAGGTATCCCGGTGACACCGCGACTTAGCCAGAGGCAGGGACAGATCGGAGGATGCGGGCACGCAGCCTGCGGATTCTTCCCTCCTAGCAGCTGTCCAAGCTCGGTGGTGACACCGAGCGACCTCCTCGAGGGCTGGCCTGACCCTAGGCGCCCAGTTCTTCCCAGGTGGTGCTTTGAGCTGCTGGAGGGCGCAGAAGAGGAGGAGGCGGTCCACCGGGTGGTCAGGTCAGCCTGACTCAGGAATGCTTGAGGCGGAGAGCAGATCAGGTTTGCCCATGACGCGATGGTGCGAACCTGTTGAACCCTTAGTGCCTTTTCTTGTACCTAGAGGCGTAGTTTATTTAGTAAGTATTAAGTACAGAGTCTGGATCCATTGGGATTCCAGGTAAATTTTCCGAGATGGCAGTGGTCTGGCTGGTTATGTCAAGGCTGAGTTCAGCCCTGAGGCTCGGGCCTGGCTCACCCACCTGTCCTACTGCCTTCATCAGCTACCGTCATAGCCCTACCCGGAAAGGTCTCACCTGGAAAAGTGGTTGACTGACTGCCCTTGGCCTTAGGTGCTTAATCCGTGCTTGTGCCTCCCTCCCTGGGTGGAGAAGGCTGGTCTGTCGGGATACCTTCCCAGGGCAGTGATGTGCCCACAAAGTGCTTGAGAGCCATCAGGCTGTTACCCAGTCTTTCCTTTGTGAGCCGCGGGAGGGGGATGAAGCCCAGGGATTTCTAAAAGTTGGTGAGGAATTAGAGGCCCAGAAGGGGTCCCATCTTAGCCCCTACCTGTGTGTTGGGGGGGGAGATCCCCTTTTAAGACCAAGGCCCCCTTATGTTGTTGCAGGGTTCCCGCTGTGGTTGCACCCTAATCAGTACAGTTGTCCCGGGGAGCATCTAGTCACCCCTTGGCCAGGCCTGCTTAGAGACCCAGACCACCCCCCCCCCATGATTCAGCCACCCCTTCCCTTGGACTTTGGCTCAAGAAGGCTTTTCTTACCTGCGATGCCCATCCATCTTCACCCAGCCTATCTAAAGGGCATCATGTGCCCTACGTCCAAGCCCCAGTCTGCATTCCCACCCAGGGTGCATAGAGAGTGCCCAACTAAAGGGAAGTGATACAGGGTAGGGCTGAGATGGAGGTCACCTGCAGAACCTCTTCTGGACGCATTCAGTAAGGGAAGAAATGATGGGGTTGTAGCCTCAGGCTCAGTCTCTCTGAAGGGATGGGGCTGCAGGGGGGAGGGGACAGACAATGATCTGATTGTGTCCCAGGCGCACCTTCTGGATTCCCGTCACAGAGGCTCCCTTAGAAGATCTGACCTTCTAAAGCAGGGGATCTGACCTTCTAAAGCGCCTGCCTGGGACGGGTGAAGGTAGGGTCTCTCTTCCCGAGGAAGACCCGCTTGTGGGTGTGCCTGAGTGCCCCAGCACACTTCCTATCCTGCCTTCAGTGCCTGTGGGAGACAGGGCAAATATCTTGACTAATGGTTGGCTTCTACCCACTCCCTCCTGTGTAAGGATAGGTCTCAAATCTTGAGGACATAGTGGCCCCTGGGTTCTGGATAGGGCATGGACCAGTGTGACAGAGAAGTACCAGGTCAGCAGGCAGTGTCCGTGTGGAGGGAAGAGACCTGTCATCTCTGCCAGAACTGTGCTGCCAGGTGTCCCTTCCTGTCCTCGGAAGCTCGTGGTATCAGATTTGCCCTGGCTTTGGATTTGGGGTATCCTCACGGAGGTGGTCAGGCAGGGCTCCCTGACTCTCAAAGGGACTGTGAGATCAAAAGGATATGGGTAGGGAGTGGGGGTGCCAAGACCTGCCAGCTTGGGACTCTCCTGGGGCTTCCCAGCGGAAGGGGTAGGTAAGAGGCTTCATAGTCTCTGCAATATCTTGGAAGTGGCAAAGACTGTTGTTGGCACCTGTGAGCAGCTGCTCACAGCTGGGCTTTCTGCTCGCACCAGGGGACCCTTGGAGGAAGAGGGAGGAAGGCTAACAGGGTTTCCCTGATGCCCAGCATACCAGCCGTGGGTGCTAGGCTTTCCGAAGCCCTAAGAGATTCAGATTAGCCTGAGAAAAGAAGTCCGGAAGTAGGATTTGCAAATACAAAACATGGTAAGCAGGGGGTTGGACCACTGGACTCTGTGAGTCCTGGTTTTGCCCCAGCAACCACTAACCAGGAAGTCAAAAGCAGGTGAGAGCTGGTGTCCAAAGGGGGGAAACAAGGTCCCACCCCTAGAAATAGGATGTGAGGGTCTCCAGGAGAAAAGAGCCTGCCTGGAAATGGTGGCGAGGGGCAAGAGATTATAGTGGAAATTTCCCCAGCTTAGAACTGAATGAATCTGCAGCTCGAGGGCTGCTGGAGTGCCAAACCGGGTTGCTTTAAAGAAACAGGCACACCCTTGGCATCCCCTGGCGACATTCCTGAAATCCACTCGTGAAGTCCCCAAGGTGTCCTCATAGAACAACGAGGAAAGGGTTAGCAGGCTTCCCAGCCCCAGCACTGGATGTGACTAGCAGACTCCCAGCGGGGAGGACTCTGGGAAAGTGGCAGTGATGGGGGCTGGGGTGGATGGGGCTCAGGGGTTGCTCACCTTTTCTCCTATGCAAAGACTGGAGTGTTACTAGACAGTGTTTTACTGAACTAAAAGTGCTGAACACTGAGAGAGCAGATCTAAGGGAATCTAGATGTGGTAGCACACTTGCAGAGACGGGCTCTCTGAGAATTTGAAACCAGCCTGGTCTAAATAGGGACATCCAGGCCACCCAGGGTCACATAGTGAGACCTTGTCCCAAAAAGAAAAAAAGGTTTTTCTTAAAAACAGAAGCATGAAACATGGTGGACATTACTGAAGGGTTCAAGGCAGAGTCTGGGCGCAGATGTCAGCCATTAGTGTCTCCCGGCAGGTTCTGTGACCAGTCCTGTCTGGCTAGGACCAGAGCAGGGCTAAAGTTCCCATTGTAACACTTAACTGGCCACACACCACAGATGTACTGCTTGCTATGAGCATTTTGGTTCTGGTTTCCTCATCTGTAGGATGAGTTAATCGGCTCTGGGGTGGGAGGATTAAGATCGGTGTGAACCAAGGACAGTGACCGGAAGTTGGTGATGTTATTGTTCATTGCCCAATATTAACCACTGTAGTTAGACATAAAGTACCAGCAACCAAAGGGGACTTCTTTCTTTCTGCATTGCTAAAGCACCGTGAGCGAGCACTCTACCACTGGCCACCGGTCATCCCCAAAGAGGCTCTTCAGCAGACGCTTCCTAGAGAAGGAAACCTCACTGACTTCTGTTTCTTTTGGGAAAAAAATGGGGTCATTGGGCTGTGGGTGGGGGGTGCAGGGGAGTCACACAGCTGCTCACTACCCACAGGTCACTCTGAGGAATGTTCTTAGGGGAGAGGTGAACCTTGCTCTTGTGGGTGGGGTCTCTGGCAGGCCCTGAAGTGATAAATATACCCAGCGTGACTCAGAGTAGAGCAGTATTGGGAGGTAGCTGCCAGCTGCCAGCAGGTCCTCAGGCAGTATTTCCTAGCAGTTCCTAATCTCCATCCAGGAGTGTGGTGGGGTAGGCAAGGAGGATGCTAAGTACCTTTCAGGTGAGCTGAGTAGGGTCTAGACAATGATTCCTTTTGTGAGCGGTCCCTGAAGGTAAGAAGTAACAAAAGGAAAACTCAGATCCTGATGGTGGCAGGCTAACTTCCAACTCCAACTTCCCGGAGCCTCCTGTGGTGTCCTGCAGTGCAGTTCCCCAGGGGACACAACACCTCAGGGAGCTGCAGGGGAAGGCAAGGGACACAGCTTTGAGTTAAGGGGGTACTGATTGCCCCGTTACCAGAGGGGTGGTTGCAGGGATTCCTGGGATGGGCCCAGGGTACACACACACACACACACACACACACACACATTCCTCAAAGTTGTGAGGCACTTGGTCACGGGCACCTTTTTCTTCCAGGTGTGGCAGGTGTGCTTGTGGGACACCCTTTTGACACAGTCAAGGTGAGTCTCTTGTGGAGGTACAGACAAGTTGGGTCAGGCCTGCAGGGTTTCTGCCCCAGGACCTCAGCTTTTGAACAAAGTGACTGCGCCTTCCTCCTGGGCATCTTCCACAGAGGCTGAACTGCCTTACTTGGCCAGTGGAGGCTGGGGTGTTGATGAGCAGGTTTCTTATCTGCCAGAAAGAGAAAGCCTACTCTGTCCTGATGTATAATTTCCCTGGCATCTTCTTTGAATTATTATCATATTTTGTGTTTTGCCTGCATGTATGTCTGTGTGTCATGTGTGTGCCTGGTGGAACTGGAGTTTCAGGTGGGTTGTGAGCAGCTGTGTAGGTGCTGGGAATTAAACCCAGATCTGGGGGAGATCAGCCAGTGCTGTTAACTGCTGTTTGCTGGGCCTCATGAGTAATGTCCTCTCTTTAGCCCCACCCCTAACATCTTCCTGAAAGAAAATAAGAGGTGGTAAAAGACAGAAAGAACCAAACTTTACTGAGCCAGGTGTGGTGGGTAGCACACCTGGAATTCCAGCCCTGGGGAGAACTGAGAATTTGGGGCCAGCTTGTGTTAGGAAAACCTGCCCCATCCGCTGGATGTGGTAGCAGACACTAAAGTAGTGGCACTGGGAGGCTAAGGCAGGAGGACCACAAGTGTGAGGCCAGCCTCACAAACACACGCCTGAAATAAACTTGAGGATATTTCTCTCCTGGTCCTTCTGGCCCGGTGCTTGAGTGCTGGCATGTCCCTGCAAGGCAGTGTCACCCAGCAAGGTCCTAAGGACCACCACTTTCAAATGGCCAGGGCTCTGGACATGGACTCCCTGGGGTGGCTACGTCCTGAATCATAACCTTGACTATTGATTAACTGGAGCTCCGGGTTAATCAAGGAGACAGACCCACATTCTGTGGTGGAAAGCTTCTGTGGAAGTTTCCCCTGTGGCTGGAGTTGTAAGTATTCAAGCTAGTCACATCAGGACCCTGCCTCGGCTGTTCTCCCGGCGCCCAGCGGCCTGTGAGTGGAAGGGCCCTAGACCAGACTTGTGCTTGGTTCAGGCCTAAGCCAGGCTCCTTTCCCACTCGTGTGAGGAAAAAGCTGGAACACACTATCCTGCCTTGGGCTGAGCCTTACTTCCTGGTTCTTCCTTTTTTTTTTTTCTTCAGTGAACCAGGTGTTTGTTGGCAAAGAAAGTAGCTCATTAATCCAGAGGTGGGATTTCTTCCAGTGTGGATGTAAGAGCCTGCCTTGTGCACTGGCTTCGACCTTATTAATCCAGAGATGGGATTTCTTCCAGTGTGGATGTAAGAGCCTGCCTTGTGCACTGGCTTCGACCTTCTAAAGCTGTCCTTGGTCCAGGCATTTGTGAGGTGAGGGAGTGGATGAGCTTACTAAGGTCTGCTGTTCACTGTGCACCAGGATGACTTGTGCCACGTTAATGGGTTAATGCAGGCTCTAGACAGCCTAGCCCCGTCATCTGGTAACCCTGGGGAGAAGGCTGGAGAGCAGGCTCCTGGCAAGCAGTGGCCCATGAATTCCATTCATAGGCTTGCAAGAACGATGCTCTGGTACACCCTGTCCACAAGACGACCCACCATGCCCACATTCTGCCTGGATGCCTTCTTCCACCCACAGTGAGGCTGGCCATAGTCATATATCGTCGCGTTTCTACCTTGAGGTCAAATGTCTCAAACACCTCCCACAGCTGTGTCCAGCTAGTAAGAGCAAGGATCCACTTCCTCAGCCCGCTATTGCAGAGGCTGCTGACTTGACAGGTACTCGCTCCTAAAGCAGGCCCTTCAGGCAAGAGAACACTTTTGTCCTGGTAGTCCCAACTCCTCTGAGATGCCATAGGAGTCATTCCCCTGCCTGTGGATACCTGGAAAGTGGTCTTTCAGAAAATCAACTGGTAAATCCCCCAACCCCCAACTGTGGTTGGGCCATTGGCATTCAAGCAAACTGGCTGTAAGAAAGCTATTTGTTCTTTTTGTTGTGTATGGGTATTTTGTCTGTCTGTCTGTCTGTGTACCAGGCGTGTGCCTGATCCCCATGGAGGCCAACATTGGATCCTCTGGAACTGGAGTTCCAGTTGAGCCACAGAGTGGGTGCTGAGAATTGAACCTGGGTCCTCTCATAGAGCAGCCAGTGCTCTTAACCACTGAGTTCTCTCTCCAGCCCCTTGCACGTGCTAGGTAAACCAGTGTAGTTCTGTCGCTGAGCTACAACCCAGCCCACGGCTGACCCTTTCTGAATCAGATCTAGGGAGCTTCCTAGCTCTTGAGATCATGATGTAACCTAGCTCCCCCCCCCCCCCCAGCACTAACATGGATTCCAAGTTCAGTATGCTCCCTTTGTGCCGCCATGATGTCAGTGTTTCAAGAGCAGATAAGCTCTCAGGCAACAAAGAGTGCTTTGAGGTGGAAAAGGTTCTGGGCCACTGGGCCTGGCGGTGTCCCCAGGTCCTGGAGTTATTGCTATGGGTACGTAGGGGAGCTGTCAGCTGTCTGCCACCACCCGTGCCTCATGGCTATGGTTGTTAAAGGGCTGCTAGCAGGAACCGAGCAGGAGCAGAATGGAGGCCCAGCATCCCACCCTGATGGAGGTTAGAGGTGTGACACCAGGCTGGGATTCCCCTTCGGCCTCAGCCCTCAGAGCTGGTCTGGTGGTAGTGCACATGAGAGACCTCCCCTGCACTTGTCTTGGGGACTCCCAACCCATCTGCAGCTGGCTGTCCTTGTAGCTGGTATCTCTCGAACACCCAACCTGGGCGCACCCTGGGATCCCAGATTCACAAAAAGTTACTTGGCTGCCTGCCTTGTGTACTGCGGGTCAGGGGAATTGCTGCAGTGGCTCTGCCTGTCCCTGCTCACTGGCTCTGCCTCTGCAGGTGCGGCTGCAGGTACAGAACACGGAGAAGCCCCAGTACCGAGGGACACTGCACTGCTTCCAGTCCATCATCAAGCAGGAGAGTGTAAGTGCGTGGGCGGGGCAACTGCGGGGCTGGGGTGCAAGGCTGGAGGTGCTACCACCCGAGGTCAGAGGCCCAGGAAAGGTTATCGGGGTACCCACAAGGGCCCTTGGGGGTGTGAGTTGATTGCTGGGGCGTCTTGGATTGAGGACTTTGCATCTAACAGAATTCTGCATGCTTCCTATGTGCAGCTGGATGGTTAGAGCTGCCACTTGTGTATGGAGGGCCTGAGGAGAATGGCTGGGCATTGCAAGCAGGGTGGCACCCTTCATCCTGATGGCATTTCTGTCTCTGCAGGTGCTGGGCCTGTATAAAGGTCTGGGCTCACCACTAATGGGGCTCACCTTTATCAATGCACTGGTGTTTGGGGTGCAAGGCAACACCCTTAGGGCCCTGGGCCAAGACTCACCACTCAATCAGTTCCTGGCCGGTGCAGCAGCAGGCGCCATTCAGTGTGTCATCTGTTGCCCCATGGAACTGGCCAAGACAAGGCTGCAGCTGCAGGTCGTGGGCCCCGCTCGAACCTACAAGGGCTCCCTGGACTGCCTGGTACAGATTTACCGGCACGAGGGCCTGCGTGGCATCAATCGAGGCATGGTGTCCACACTTCTGCGCGAGACACCTAGCTTTGGCGTCTACTTTCTCACCTACGACGTAATGACGCGCGCCATGGGCTGCGAGCCAGATGACCACCTGCTGGTGCCCAAGCTGCTGCTGGCGGGGGGCACATCAGGCATCACCTCCTGGCTCTCCACCTATCCTATGGACGTGGTTAAGTCGCGACTGCAAGCCGATGGGCTGCAAGGAGCCCCTCGCTACCATGGCATCGTCGACTGCATGCGGCAGAGCTACCAGGCTGAGGGCTGGCGAGTCTTCACACGAGGACTGGCCTCCACGCTGTTACGTGCTTTTCCCGTCAATGCTGCCACCTTTGCCACAGTCACTGTGGTGCTGACATATACCCGGGGTGAGGAGGCCCAGCTAGACAGTGAGGCAGTTTCGGGCACCTCTGCCACCCCTGCTGGGCCTGCTCTGGCCCAGCCTTCCAGACTGTGATGCTGTCTCTCCCACCAACTTCCCCGGGGCCACTTGGCTGAAACCTGACACCGATAATGTGGCTCCTCAGCCAGTCTCCTTGCTCCTTGGCTGGCGATACTAGCCAGCCTATACCCCGCTGACCTTCAGTTTTCTTAACTGTAAAATGGGGACTCTTCATACATGGTACGTTCGAGAAGGTCAAGCCTGGTTAAGTCTACACTCTGTAGACAGCACTGCCAGTGAGAATCTCTCAACCCTACACTCCAGGGCTCTCTCCTGAGCCGACTATAACAAGCTGGCCAAGGACCCATCCATTCCCCAGATCCTCCATCCACAGAGGCCCAGGAAGATACTTGGCCAGCTCTCACCAGTAGGGGCAGCGGACAGTGTAGAATGCTCCTCAGCTGCTGCCCTTGAACTGCAGATGGGGTCTGGGGTCCTGGCAGCAAGCCTGTTGAGGATTCTGCTCATGCACGGTCTGCATGGGGAGCAGGCAGGCCGCTGCCTCGGTGTCTCCACAGTGAAACTGTGTGACAGCTGTGGCAAGAGGAAATCTTCTCATCCCTGGGCTTCTAGTTACCTGTCTGCAAAATGGAGACGTGGGTCAGCCGATGTCTGCCTCACTACGGCCAGCCAGAATTCCCAATAATGGGTAGGCAGAGGGCCCAGGAGAACACAGTGTAGGTTGCTCGTGTCCCTGGTCTTGGCAGCAGGTACAGTGGAGCCAGTTTGGGTGTCTCTCCAGCTGCCTGTCAGTGTTGGACAGGACCCTCTAAAGGAATAAAGTCTTGTTTTCTAAGTGTGTGAAGCTCCTCTCTGCATGGTGCAAGGGACTTCATTTCCTTCCTTATATCCTAGATTCAGTGGCTATCTATGGTCTATGCATGGACTTGGATCTGGCCACATGACTTGGGCAGGTCAAGGACACATCTACGTGGTGGTGAATGGAGGCGCGAGGGATACTTAAGTAAATCACAAGCATGCCCTTTAGCAAGTATTGGCAGTCATTTCAGGAACTGGAGACCTGTGGTGGGGACATAGGTCCCCTGGTAGAGGAAAGGTATAAGGGGAGCTATCTGATGACCTGGGCAACTAGTATGTGCCCTGTAACGTGTCTTTCTCTATCCTGCCAGCTCCCAATTTTTGACGTGGAGACTTCTTATTAATTATGCAAGCTCAGCCTTAGCTCAGGCTTGTTTCTAACTAGCTCTTATAACTTAAATCATTAACTCAATCCATTTCTATTAACGTCACCATGTTGTTCATGGCCTTTACCTCTCCTCCTGCATGTCCTGCTTCCTCTGCATCTGGCTGGTGATGCCCCCTTCTTCCCATAGCTCTCTCTGTCTGGAAGTCCCTCCTATACATCCTGCCCAGCCATTGGCCATTTAGCTTTGTATTAACCCAATCACAGTGACATATCTTTACACAGTGTAATCAAATATCTTGTACCATTTCCCCTTTTTGTCTAAATAAAAAGGAAAGGGTTTTAACTCTAACAGTAAAACTATATACAATAAGAATAATTATAAGATAAAAATTACACTTACAATATCCAGTCCATTTGTATTTGGCAAATTTGGATAAATTATTATCTATCTTATCTTGGTGAGTTCAAAGTTTTATACCTAAACCATTTTTTTTATCATAACTTGTATTACCAACCCAAAACTATCTATTTATACCTCAAAACATTTTCTTAGATAAACAATTTAAGCTTTTATGCCTTTCAACCTCATATGCTTTATATTTTTATAAATTTCTTTTCTGAATTTGATGGCAAAGAAAACTACAACTATTTGGTCTTCAACTCCATCAGAGATCCAAAGAAGGACCTAATATTACCTGAGTAAGCAGGAAGTACACAGCAAACAACTTCCCAAACTATAGAAATGGCAGAAACAGCCGGCTGCCTGAACAGTCACCTAAGTTTCCTCTGCAACACTGGGGCATCCATCTGGGGCCTGCAGGCCTAGAATATCTGGCAGACTTTTTGGTAAAGCAGGAATTTTGAACAACTTTCTTACCTTGTCTTGGCAAAGTGAGGCAGTTGCTTTCTTTTGTGCCCTGCTTGTCCAGTTAGGACAATGTACTGCCAATAGTTGAGGCAAGGGCAGTTTCTTTACTCATTGGTTAACTTTTCCATAATAAAAGCAAAGTCCAGATGGATGTTCTTTGATGCCCATCTTCTTTTGAAGTAAATTGGTGTTGCCAGGAGCAGATATGTCTCACTGTCATGAAAAGCCTGCTGTTATTAAAACATTTTAAATGTCATATTCTGTAGGTTTTGGAAGTGTTTGAAGATTACCTATCTATCTAAAATATATCTGTTTAACCTTGAAAACCTAATGTAACTACAGGTTTGCTTATCATGGATGACTAACTAATCTGTAATTTTTTTTTCTTTTGAAACAGAGTTTCTTTGTGTAACAGTCTTGGCTGTCCTGTAACTTGTTCTGTAGACCAAGCTGGCCTCAAACTCACAGAGATCCACCTGCATCTGCCTCCCAAGTGCTGGGATTAAAGGCATGTGCCACCCTTCTCTAGACTGCTTCCTGTTGTCTGTGAGAGATCACATCTAGGGAACCTGAGGAAATTGAGATAATGGTCAGTTCCTTGGAAAACTAGCTGTAACATTTGTTCTCCAGTCTGTGGAATGGGAAGACACAAGGCTTGTCTGCAGTCCTGGCTAGAATAGTCTGTGAGGCTGGACCATCTCAGCCAGCAGCCTTGAAGCTGTTCTGGATGCAGAACTCTGAGGAAACTGCAACAGAGGCATTCTGAGAGGCTGGATCACCCAGGCTACTTGTCTTTATTGATACCTGGTCCTTTTATTTTTTGAAAATACACGAACTTTTAAAGGTAACATGTATATCTGCATTGACACAGTATGGAATGTGCAGTGTGCACAAGTCAGTTAAAGATGATATTTCGTTGTTGTTGGTTTTTTGTTTGAGCAGGTAAAAGTCATTTGTTAATTTTATGTTTAGTGTGTATAACCAGACTGTATTATAAATCTCTATCCATGCCTTATGAAAGGATGGCATATAATAATGAGTCATGAGGACTCTGTAGCCACAGTGTCCGAGCCGTTTCCAGGTTGAAGGATCAGCTATACAACTGTCTTGTAGCTTTTCTTTTGTTCCTTTTTTTGTGTGTTTGTAGTTAAGATTATTAGGAAGACTTCCCCAGTCAAATCTCATCTCAATTAACGTTGAAGGAACCCAAAGCACAACCTCTCCTCCAATGCAACAACACATTTTTCAACTTTCATTCTGAAGCCAAGACATCTCAAAAGTAACTAGGCTGGTTTAATCCCGCAGTCCCTCCCATAATCCAGTGTCTCTCAGCAGCTGCCATTCACTCATCAGCATTCAAAAGTTAAGTCAACAAAGCACCATACAGGATCCAGATGCCCTGTGTATTTCCCATCCTTATGTGTTTTTTAAATTACTGTTTCTTTAAAGACTTTATTATTTTTAAACTGTTTTTTTTCCCTCTGATTGTCTAGACCCACTTTCTCCCCCATCCCATTAGCATTTGAGCACATTTTAAAGCATTCTGTACCTATTTAGAGGGTTTTTTGTTTTTTTTTTTTTTTTTTGGTTTTTCAAGATAGGGTTTCACTAGGCGGTGGTGGCGCACGCCTTTAATCCCAGCACTCGGGAGGCAGAGACAGGTGGATCTCTGTGAGTTCGAGACCAGCCTGGTCTAAAAGAGCTAGTTCCAGGACAGGCTCCAAAATCACAGAGAAACCCTGTCTCGAAAAACAAAACAAAAAAACAAAACAAATCAAGATAGGGTTTCCCTGTGGCTTTGGAGCCTGTCCTGGAACTAGATCTGTAGACCAGGCTGGTCTCGAACTCACAGAGATCCACTTGCCTCTGCCTCCCGAGTGCTGGGATTAAAGGCTTGCACCACCATCACCCAGCTTATTTAGAGTTGTTTTTAGGCCTGGACTTGGCTTTACTAAGTGTGCACAGCAGTCCTGACCGTGTGAGCCAAAGCCTAACCGGCTAGGTGGCAGCTGCTCTGCCGGCTCCACCCTCCTTGGTTCCCTGAGTACCTAGCCTCATGTCGGTGCTGCCCAGTTCTTGAAAGTTGCTGAGCCCCCTCTGCAAAGTCTCTGCGAATGGCAGCTGACTCCTGAATGCTCGCAGAGAGGCCCACGAGGTGACTGTAGCAGCACAGGCTGGTGGGACTTCTCTGTCGGGTATGGTGGAGCCATGTGTTGAAGCACCAAGTGTAAGGAGTCTTTCTCCATCCCGCCAGCACCCACATAATGGCACGGAGACTTCTTATTAATTATGGAAGCTTGGCTCAAGCTTAGGTTTGTTTCTAACTAGCTCTTACAACTTGAACTAACCCATTCCTATTAATCTATGTGTTGCTACATGGCTCGTGGCTTTTACCTCTCCTCCTGCATGTCTTGCTTCCTTTGCCTCCAGCTGGCGACACTGCTTTTCTTCTTCTGTCCAGAAGTCCCGGCCACACCTCCTGCCTAGCTACTGGACATTTAGCTTCTTATTAAACAAATCACAAAATCATCTTTATACAGTGTAGTCAAATATCTCAGTACGGTGCTCAGCTCAGCACAGCTCAGAACAACTTCCTGGAAGAGGCCTCCCTAGCCTGCCACATGAAGTCCCCATAGCCACTAAGTCTCCTTAGTATACAGTATTCTTACGTCCCAGCTCTGCCCGTGTCTCCTTAGTACCTAACTCCAGTAATGTGAAATCAAGCTTATTCAGCTTCTAAGGACAGGAGGAAAGAAAGGGGTGTCTGGTTGCCCCCTAGGGCTCCCACCTTGGCCTTCCTCCCCTTTTTACTGTAAAAGAAAACAAATTATACTCTCTGGGCAGATATACAGGAGACTGTCTCTGGTCCTCTCTCAGTCTAGTGGCTGTGCTTCCCAAGGGCAATCTGGATAGGGCTTGGGCCACAGGGCACTCAAGGTCCCTGTCATCCTCAAACGCCACACACCTGCATTTCCAGAAAGGTCCTACCATGACCAAACATGTCTGTTGGTACTAAGTTAGTTGCCTCCCTTCAATGCTAGGGCCACAAGACACAGATACAGATAAGCCCCTTGCTTGAGTGATGGACAGGAGCCACCCACTCAAGGCTGCGCTGTGGCTTCCTCTGAATTGGTAACCTCAATAGTAACTCGAGACAGTAGAAACTGGTATCATCACATGGAGCCCGGTCCCCACTTCCACCACGAGAGCTGACTGATGAGCTCAACAATAAATCTGGGTTAGGAGTGGTGGTGGTTAGTGCTGGGAGCACACGTGTGCCGCGGCGCACGGGGCTGAGTTAGAAGCCAACTGTGGAAGTTGTCTTCAGCCATATGAGTTCCAGGGACTGAACTCAGGTCACCAAGCTTGGAGGAAGGCGTCCTTATCTGCTGATCCAATCTCGCAAGCCCAAACGTGTTTTACATTCTTTTCTCCTTGACTTGAACTTAATCTAGTAAGTACTATATGAGAGTTATTTATTGTGCTAGAGACGGTGTCTTGTTATGCTGCCCAGGCAAGCCTCAAATGGGTAAGACTCCTGTGTCACCACAGCCAGCTTTTATGAGGGGAGGGAGGTGGTGTGCGAAGAACCCAGATGGAGGGTGTGAAGGGAGCAGCTTCCTTAAGCTGGGCCCGACTCAGATCATCCTCTAGTTCCTGGGCCACCTGCAGTCTCAGGGCATGTCCTGTTTCTGCACAGCTCTATCCTGTCAAGTATGGCAAAGGCACTTACTGTTTTGTTCTGGTTATTTTTAGTACTAGGGGTTGAACCTGGGGTCTTCCGCATGCATCCCACACCTTCAGCCCCTCTTATACTTTTATTTTGAACTTAGTCTGTATCCCAGGCAGGCTGTGAGCTTGTGATCCTCCTGCTTCTGCCTCCAGAGAAGGGACAGGCTGGTGCCACCAACCCCACACACATTCTGTTCTTTGTTTTTGTCACGGGTCCCTCGGGCTGTGGCTAAGGTTCTTCCCTCAATTCACAGATTCCCCTTAGAGGCTTCCAGCCCACAGCTCTGAAAGACACTGTTCCTTGACTTCCCACTTAAGGTGATGACTGCTATCCACGGATGCTCCCTGGTGCTGCGATTAAAAGCACACACTACTAGTTTGGAATGTTCTTAGACTGACACACCTACCTGGGTCTCAGAGTCATTAGGAACCATCTGTTAGGGAGGAAGCGCAATAGCTGAAGGGGACCTAGGAGTATATTAGCCAACAGCTAAGTGAGAAGATACAGTCCATACCTAGAGGTGGAAAAAGTAGCAGGGTAGTGTGTCCTAGAGAACAGCCTGGACCATCAGAGGGCTGGCCTCATAGTCTGCAGGCGGGGCATGGCCTTCTTATAAACACCACAGCCTTGACCTAAATTACTCAGTTTTGAGTATACATGCTGAGAATGACTACACATTTTGGTACCACAAGTCAACCCCATCGGCCAGCATATCAGAAGGGCATAATATCAAGTCATATCAGAAGCACCAGACATGAATCACACTGGATGGAACCAGCTTACCTGGGACTGTAAAATGAGCACTTGGTTAATGAGATGGCTCAGTGAGGAAAGGTGCTTGTTGCCAAACTATCAGCCTGAGTTCAAACCCTGGAACCCACAGAGAGGAAGGAGTCAATTCCTTCAATTTTTCCTCTGACCTCCATTCGAACCCACCCAAATCACAGGCCACCTCAAAAGCCACCGCACAGGCCTGCACTTGTGGTTCCTACGATTCATGTGGTCCCCGATAGCCTCTTCCTGTGTCAGTTCTCTGCCTTCTGTACAGCCTTGCTTAAACTAGAAACTTCTTTAGCCCTCTTGGGTTCTGCCATAAATGTATAGCTGTGTGATGTGAGAAGTGTAATGAGAGAGAAATGTTGTTTTCTGTTGTCTTTTGAGGGCCCACTACCCAGCTCCCAAATACATACACAGATACTTATTATTATTTATAAATGCCCGGCCATAGCTTGGCTTATTTCTTACCAGCTTTCTGCAACTTAAATTATCCCCTCTACCTTTTGCCTCTCGACTTTTACTTTTTTTCTATCTCTGCATATCTTACTTTCACTCTTACTCCATGGCCAGCTGTGTAGGTGACTGGCCCCCGATGTCTCCTCCTCTTCTGCTCCTCTCTTTCCTTTTCTTCCCAGACTTCTCCTATTTATCTTCTCTGCCCACCAGCCCTGCCTATTTCTCTCTCTTGCCTCGCTATCTACTGTTCAGCTCTTTATTAGATCAATCAGGTGTTTCAGACAAGCACAAGAACACAGCTTCTCAGAGTTAAACAAATGCAACATAAAAGAATGCAACACATCTTTGCATCATTAAATATTCCACAGCATAAACAAATGCAACACGTCTTAAATTAATATTCCACAAGTTAATATAAAACAGAAATAAGGGGGCTGGAAAGATGGCTCAGTGGTTAAGAGCATTGCCTGCTTTTCCAAAGGTCTTGAGTTCGATTCCCAGCAACCACATGGTGGCTCACAACCATCTGTAGTGAGGTCTGGTGGCCTCTTCTGGCCTTCAGGCATACATATAGACAGAATATTGTATACATAATAAATAAATAAATATTTAAAAAAAAACAGAAATAAGGGCTGGAGAGGCAGTCTGGGTTAAGTAACATTTTCTACTCTTGCAAAGGAACTTGGTTTAATTCCCACCATCTGTAACTCCAATTCCAGATCTGACAGCTTCTTCAGACCTCTGCAGGCATCAGGTGCATGGTTTAAGACACAAATGTAGGCAAGACACTCATACACCTAAAGTAAATAGAGCTTAAAAAAAAAAAAAGCTGAAACAAAAGATTGGTGGTTATCAAGCACAGTTGAGATTTACTCGACAAATACTTGTGAATTTATTTTCTGTTTCAAACACGGTCTCAGGTAGCCTCGGCTAGCTTGGAACTCACTATATAGTCAAGATTGCCTTTGAACTCCTTGCTGATGCCATGCTGGAATCAGAGATGTGTGCCCAACTAGTAATTTATTGCAATTTAATAAATTCTGACACGGGGAGACACAATGTGTCCTCTAATGTTTCTGCCTGGGCTATTCCTGGCTGTTGGGTTTTTCTGCTGTCCTGTGAAGGATGGTGGGGTGCTGTAAGGCCTGGGAGCCCCAGATAGACCCCCCCCCCACAGATGACCTTCCTGTAAAACCAGACTGTGGCACTGACCTTGTAAAGCTGTTGAGAGAATATCACATGCCAAGCTGCTGCCCCTACCGTCCAGAACTCGCTAGTGTGGGGTCCTATGAAAAGCTTGCTTGCATGGCACAAGGAGGTTATGATTGGTTTTCATGAGAAACTACTCATTGTAGGCCAGGCACAGGGCAGGTGGTTCCAGTGCTCCCTGAGCCAAGGCAGGGAGACATAGGGCAGGATGCTCCAGTCTTTCCTTGGCCTAGCCCTCCTGCTCGCTAGACTTTGTCTCTCAAATCATTTCTCTAAGAGATCTGGGCTACAGCCTTGCCCTTTTA